ATGATATATTAACTGTATGTACATTTAGCTTGTTTCCGGTTTTAGCAGATGTTCGTAAACTATGCTCTGTTCTCTGTTTCATGGGCATACAAGGGACTTAAAATACACTTGTCTGATGAAATATTATTAAGGTTTTTTGCCATCGTTAATTATTTAGGTTGCGACTCTAAAGTATTCTGGATATCAAGYTGCTTATGCTGCTTGGAGTAAGTATATTTATTGTATTAAAAAAAATTCATTTAAAAGTTACGTTGGGGAACTTTTTTAAAATAACAAGAACGCATCAAATTAGAAGAGTAGATCAGAACAATGTTAAAAAACAACTATTGAGAAAAGAAAACGTCTGCTATTACTTTTTACTTTTTACTTTTTTAAATAACTTTATTACCAATAGCAGAGTAAGTCATACATTAATTTACTTCTTGATTTTCCAAGATTACTCCTTATAGCTTCATGAAAAGTCATGTTGCTTTGAAAGTGGGTCATAATCAACAACTTCATACTCGCGTTCGGGAGAACTTCGGGCTAACTTCGGGCTAGTATTTTATAGAGGACATTTTATAGAAAAACCGTATTTGTTCTTAATCGAAAAAGTAGAAATTCTTAAAAGGACTTGCAAACTTGCACTTCAAATTCCAACCAAACTAAACTTGTATCAGTATTTATCATTTATTTTGAGTTATTTTCTTTGCCACGTAGGTTATATATTTCTACATCTTCTCATTTTCGTTATTGGTACCGTCATTGGCATTCAAATCGCGCATCCTATGATTCTTGGAACATTCGATTCCTTTTTATGGGGCCAAATCTTCAACATTTGGTAGGTTATTACAGAATTTAGATTTTTATAATTTTCACTTGGTTTGRGAATGGGAAAACATGAAGCATAAGGCTAAAAGGTTTGTCGACCCCCTCAGCGCGGGCGTAATCTTTCCCATTTCACACCACATGTCATGTAGGAGCGGACTACAAGGGAGTCCAGGACTGGACTAGTCATTCCCTAGAGTATTATTTCTTTGTTTAACGGTTGCGCTCGGTTGCACATGAATATGGATACAACTCAACAAAGAATCTTATTCTCAAGGGAATGGCACGTGATCTTAAATGGGAAAACATTACGCCCTCTGTGTCTGAATCATTTTTGTCTCATTACATTATCTCAACAGGCCAGCCATACTTGTTTCAACAGTATTCTTTCTATTCCAATATCTTTTGGCCAAGTTTGTCTTTTTACATTATCGTGGATCAGCTTTGGCGCTCGACAACAGGTTTGTCTTGAAATTCTTTTTACATCGGCTCACTGGCATAAAAAAGGTTTTTTT